TGTGATGGCATAAGGGCATAAGGATGTGAGGCTTGATGACCACCAAGGCTTTTATTTACAGGATTAGTTTTTTACTGCTGTACGTGTTATTAAATGCTAGAAGCCCGATGCACGAAGATTTGTGCTAGAATGGGCTTTCCTTTCCCTGTCTGCTGGCATTGCCTTTCCAACCCTATCTCTAACCCTTTCCGCTCAGGCCCCGGAGCTGCCTCTTTCCACTCTGGGCGCAGCCTCTTACTGCTCTGGCCCCTCCGGCCCATGCTGCCCAGAGGCTCTGAGAGACTGGGGGTAGGGCAGACGTCCTGCCCCTGTCACTAGGCGCCTGTGTATGCAGAGTAACTCCCATCTTTGTTGGGTTAATTTGCATATCCCTCCTGATTGGCTGGTGGTGTAGTGGAGGTATAGTCAATTTACATGTTTGTCTATTATTAGGTAAGATGTGTTTTCTTGTGTCAGGGAGGAAAGTTCTCTAGTTTAATTGCAGCTTGCCATTTTAACCAAGAAATACCTCTTTTGGATTTCAGTTCCCACCTCCTTTGGAAATTCCTAGTGCTAACTTTCTATTTGTCCATCTGGTTGGTTCAGGATTTTCAATAAATTGTTAAATTCTTGTTTCTCTGAAGTATTATATTGTTATTTTATCAAATTGAAACCAATATTATATGTAATAGTGAAAAATCTGGAACTCTCCAACTGTGACAGAGTCATAGGAAATAGCTCCTGTTGCCATCCAACTAATATACAAGATTCTGTACATGAACAATACTGAGTAATTTGTATAATTACTGAGTTTAATAATCTTGTTGACTACAGGGAAGGAAGGAAGGTTAGATCCTATATAGCATCTAACCATGAAGATATAGTGCCTGTCTCATCAGATGCAATTAAGGAAGCTAATTTGACTGACATAGTTTCCAGTTAGGGAATATTGTGATATGGACTGTTCAGCACTGTTAGTTTGCTGCTCTTTTGTGTTTTTAAAGAAATACATTTTTTTTTTTTTTATTTTAGAGAGGAAGGGAGAAGGGGAGAGAGATAGACACACCAGTGATGAGAGGGAATCATTGTTCAATTGCCTCCTGCACGTCCCCTGCTGGGGATTAAGACTGCAACCCGGGCACATGCCCTGGTTGGGAATGGAACTGTGACCTCTGGCTCATGGGTTGACACTCAACCATTGAGTCACACAGCAGGGCTGTTAGTTTGTTTATATACAATAACTTCCTTCCTATTTCTCACATTAGCTGAAGAGTGACAGTTTTCCTCCCAAGCTGATAAAGTCAGATGTTCCAAGAGGTTTGGGTCACATGGGTTATTTAAAATTGCTGGCAGCATTTTTTGCAATTTTTAAAGTAAAATTTTTTATTTTTCAATTACAGTTGACATACTGTAATTAGTTTCAGGTGAATAACCCAGTGATTAGACATTATATAACATACTAAGTTATAATCCCCATAAATCTAGTACCCTTCTGACACCATACATAATCATTAGAATATTATTTCCTATTACAGCCCCATGATGATTTTTTTACTACCAACCTGTATTTCTTAATCCCTTCACCTTTTTCACCCATCCTTTTAACCTTCTTCCCATCTGGGCAACCATCAAAATGTTCTCTGTATCTATGAGTTTGTTTCTGTTCTGTTTGTTTATTTTAGATCCAGTTGTTGATAGACATGTAATTATTGTCAATTTATTAATATTTTTTACCTGTTTTTTTTCTTCTTAAAGAAGATCCTTCAACATTTCATATAATATGGTGGTGATGAACTTCTTTATCTTTTCCTTGACTGGGAAGCTTTTTATATGTCTTTTGATTCTAAATGACAACTTTACTGGGTAGAGTAATCTTGGTTGTATATCCTTGCTTTTCATCACTTTGAATATTACCGTGTTTCCCTGAAAATAAGACATCCTCTGAAAATAAGACCTAGCGCATGGAAAGATAAGACACCCCCTGAATATAAGACCTAGCGCAACTTTGGGAGAAAAAATTAATATAAGACACTGTCTTATTTTCAGGGAAACAGGGTACTTGCCAATCCCTTTTGGCCTGCAGAGTTTCTTTTGAGAAATCTGTTGATAGTCTTATAGGAGCTCTTATAGGTAACTAACTGCTTTTTTCTTGCTGCTTTTAAGATTCTCTCTTTGTCATTAACCTTTTGATACATTATGATGTGTCTTGATGAACCTCTTTGGGTTCATTTTGTTTGGGACTCTGCTCTTCCTGGACTTGTATATCTTTCATTTACCAGGTTAGAGGATTTTTCTGTCACTATTTTTTCAAATAGGTTTTCAATTTTTTGTTCTGTCTCCTGATACCCCTGTAATGTGAATATTGGTATACTTGAAGTTGCCCAGAGTTCCTTATGTTATCTTCATATTTTGGATTCATTTTTTTTCTTTTGCTGTTCTAATTGGGTGTTTTATGTCATTATATTCCAAATCGCTGTTTTGATTCTTAGCTTCATCTACATTTCATTTAGTGTATCCTTCATTTCTAGCTGGTTCTTTTATATGTTTTCCATGTCCTTTTTTTTATGCTGTTGAAAGTCTCTCTAAGTTCATCTACTGTTTCCCTAAATTAATTGAGCATCCTTATAAATAGTGTTTCGAACTCTGCATCTTGTAGATTGCCTTAATTTTAATTCTTTTTCTGGAGTTTGTTCTGTTCTTCCATGTGGGCACATGTTTTATTTTTTGTTTTTTGTCTCCTCATTTTGGCAGCCTCCTGTGTTTATTTCTATGTACTAGGTGGCTTGGTAATGTGGCCTAATATACTAAGTATCCTGTAGGGTCAAGTGGCATAGCCTTCCCAGTCACCCAAGTTGTCCAAGTGCGCCAATCCCTCCTCCCTATGTGGGCTTTGTACACCTTCCTATAGTTGAGCCTTGATTATTGTTGGCATGTCAATGGGAGGGATTTACCTGTGGAGGATCAGCTGTGCAAGGGCCTGCCCCAGAGAGCAGGACTGACTTCCGAGGGGATGTAGTGCCCGTTGAGTTCGCACCTTGAGTGTGTTGTTGTGGAGGTGGTTTGGTAGTGCTTCAGTGTGGTATGAAGCTGTCAACAGAGTGTGTTGGCTCTGGAATCTCCAGGGAGGTGAAGGCTAAAGTCATCTGTCACCTGTGTTGTGACCAGGGCCACCCAGCATGAGCTATAAAGTGATCTGCATATGGCTTGTAAATTTTTTAAAAATCAGCTTCATATAGAGAAAAGGTTTTTGAAAGCTGGAAATGTATTTTTCTTTGTGTCTGATCCCCACTTAGTTGGGGAGGGGGTATGGCCCAGTGCTGTGTCCTAAATATGGGTCATATGATGGGAAGCATTATGTGCTTACTTTAGAAAATTTGATAAATACTGAAAAGAATAAAGAAGAAAAGGTCCATAATTTCCCCACCTACAAATAATCATTGTTTAGGATATAAAAAAATTTACACCTTGTTACCTTCTATGTGTATTTTTCATGTTTTGAACTTTTCCCTATACAATTTTGTGCTTCTCCTTTTATACGGCAGGATTTCTCAAGAATAGGAGTAAATTTTAGGTTGGGTAAGCATTTGTTGTTGGAGGTCTGTAGCGTGCCTTGGCAGCATCCCTGACCTCTAGCTACTAGATGCCAATAGCATCTTCCCTAAAGTTGTGACAGCCAAAAAAATCTTCAGATATTGCCAGAAATTTCCTGGGCGACAGGGGCAGGGAGCAAAGTTGCCCCAGATTGAGAACCACTGTTTTATACTTAGTATTGCAACATAAGCACTTTCTCATTCTGTTACAAACTTTATAAGTACAATCTTTAGTGGTTGCATAATTTTTCTACTGTATACATCATCTTCAGTCTTAATGAAGATGTAGTATGGCCTTGGAGTGTAGCTTTGGCTGATATTAATACCCATAGCTTTGCAAAGTTATTATGTGACGAGGTAAGAATATCCTATAATTTACTGATAGTATTTTTTTTAATATATTTTTTTATTGATTTTACAGAGAAAGGAAGAGGGAGAGAGAGATTGAAACATCAATGATAAGAGAGAATCACTGGTCAGCTGCATCCTTATACCCTACGCTGGAGATTGAGTCCGCCACCCAGGCATATGCCCTGACCTGGAATTGACCTCCTGGTTCAACTACTGAGCCACACTGAGCGGGCACTGATAGTATATTTTAAAATTATATTAAACACAAAATTAACTATCTTAACCATTTGTAAGCATAGAGTTCAGTAGTGTTAAGTATATTTTATTTGCATTGTTGTACAACAGATCTTCATACTGATAGGAGAATTTACTAATGAAATGCTATAAGTAATGATTTCTGTTGTTTTTATTTTCATTAAAAAACTATCTTTAAGGTATGTTTGTTTTGTTAAAGAACATGAGAAATCATAAATCACGAGTTTTTATTTTTTTAACTTTTTAAATTTTTTTTTTTTTTTTTTTTTTTTTTTTTTTATTGATTTTGGAGAGGAAGGGACAGGGAGAGAGAGAAACATCAGTGATGAGAGAATCACCAATGGGCTGCCTCCTGCAAGCCCTTCACTGGGGATTGAGCCCGAAACCCTGGGCACGTGCCCTTGACCGGAATTGAATCAGGGACCAGTCAGTCCGTATGCGGACGCTCTATCCACTGAGCCAAACCAGCCAGGGCATAAATCACAAGTTTTTAAAAAGTATTGCAGCCCCAGCTGGTATAGCTTGGTGGATGAGCATTGAGCTATGAGCCAGGAGGTCATGGTTTGATTCCCCAGTCAGGGTACATGCCCAGGTTGTGGACCTCGATCCTCAGTAAGGGCTGTGCAGGAGGCAGCCAATTAGTGATTCTCTTTTATCTTTGATGTTTCTATCTCTAATCTTACTCTCTCTGTCTCTCTCTCTCTCTGAAATCAATAAAAATAAATTTTAAAAATGTGTTGCAAACATTAAGTGATGAGTTACAAAATAAAGTCAAACTTAATTTATATAATATAATTTTATAAAATGTTTTATGTTATATTATAGATACCACTATTTGGAATCATGTCATCAGATTCTGCAGATCCTTTCTACTGGATGAGAGTTATTCTTGCATCCAACAGAGGTATGTACTTCTTTTCTTTTGTCCCAAGGGCTCCCAGATTGCAAGAGGGCGCAGGCCGGGCTGAGGAACTCCTCTCCATGAATTTTGTGCACTGGGCCTCTATATAAAAGCCTAGTCACATAATAAAAGCCTGGTAGTCAGTGCACTCCCATAGCCAACTTTCCATAGCTGGCCAACTTTCCTCTCCCCACCTCGCCAGTTGAATTAGCCCTGATCACTAGCCAGGTTGAGGGACCCCACCCATGCACGAATTTGTGCACTGGGCCTGTAGTATGCAAATAATTATAGAACCATGTGTTTATTCTAATTATAGAACTATGTTACAAGTATTGAAGTACACAGAGAATGTAGTAATTATCACTGTCTAGAGCATTTTCTATTTTGTTTATTTTACATTTTTTCCTATATATTTGTTTTCTTTTTTACCCCAATGCACTATGTCAAGAACTTTTTTCATACCACTAAATATTCTACAGTGTAGTTTTAGGTAATATGTAATTTTTTTTGCATATAAAGATATTGCATAAGAGTCATGAATCTTTTCTTTAATATTTTTATTGATTTTAGAGAGAGAAACAATGATGAGAATCATTGATCAGTTGCCTCCTGCATGGCCGCCTATTGGGGATCGAACCCACAACTGGGGCATGTGTCCTGACCAGGAATCAAATCATGAAATCATGACCTCCTGGTTTATAGGTTGATACAGCCAAGCAACGTCACAAATCTTTTTAAATATCCTTTTTTTTTTTTTTTTTAAGCTTGGTGTGTAATTTTGGGGCTTGATATGTAATTTTTTTTTTTTTTTTAGATCCTCACCTGAGGATATTTTTTCCATTGATTTCTAGAGAGTAGAAAGAAGGGAGGAGAGGGAGAAAGAGATGGGAGGGAGGGCAGAGAGAGAGAGAGGTGGATAGAGGGAGACAGGAAGAAACACCTTTGTTAAAGAAACACATTGGTATATAGTATTTACTTCTTTTCCCTTCTTTTATAGGAACTTTAATGGAATTGGGTATCTCCCCAATTGTAACATCTGGTTTGATTATGCAGTTGTTAGCTGGAGCCAAAATCATTGAAGTTGGAGATACACCCAAAGACAGAGCTTTATTTAATGGAGCCCAAAAATGTGAGCATTAATACAATTAAATTTCAAATTTGGAAATTCTGTGGTAAAGATGTTTTTTTTTTATGGTCTTTTATGTCTGTGCTTGTAACATGTACTCCCTTTTCCTCAATTTTTTGTCAGTGTTTGGTATGATCATTACCATTGGGCAAGCCATTGTATATGTCATGACAGGCATGTATGGGGATCCTGCTGAAATGGGTGCTGGAATCTGCCTCCTTATCATTATTCAGGTGAGAAATCCTATTTTTTTATATGCAGATAACAAAACAGTTTCATTCCTTTTTTCTAACAATTTTTTAGGTGATATATTCATTTTCTCACTTTTGAATTATGAAATATTTTGATAATTGAAGTGATATGTATCATGTTGAAGTGAAAATATAAAATTTGAATAGCCTTATCACTGCATAATATATTGAATTATGGATTAACTCTATTTCATTGATTCTAAGATGCACATTTTTCACATTGTGATGTCTCTGAAATCAGGATGTTTTCTTACAGTTGTGATAGTGCTTACAATTGCTGTCAGCCAGGTGGCAGTTCTGATAGTTTGTCTTTTCCTACATGTGTGTCAACTTGACCATAGCTGTTCATGTCATCACGTCAATTTTTGATAATTTTTTTTACTTTAATTGCTTTTTAAAATGAATTCCAAAACTGTGATTTGTTATTGAAATTAAAAGTTATTATGTGTACACAAAGATATAGGAAGAGCAAGCTAGATGGTAAACATCTATATTTAAATCTAAAATAACTTTTTATAAGTAGAGAATCAAATTATTTTGTAATAAGTTGTATCATAGTTTAATTGACAGTTTAATATCTTTGAATCAGTGAAATACTATATAAAAACCCATACATGTATTCTGAGAATTTTTTAAATGGATGCTTTGGAACAGAATTTTTGAAGGCCAACATTAATTTAACCCTCTAATAAGTATCTTAAAGTGTGTAAAGTTTGGTAGATATTTCTGTAATGTACAATCCTTAAAAGTCATTTAGAGAAGTTGCTCAATGAATTGTACTTAAAATATATAGTTATTTTTTGACTTTTGAAAAGAAGTTTGTTTAAATTAAACATTGGGCACCTAGAGTTCTGCTTATCTTGGGAATACCTCTTCTTTCTCACTCTGTGAAATTAGGATTAACTCAGGAAGGTTTTTCTAATAGTCAAAAGGATTAAGGTTAGAAAAATAGTGTAAATAAAATCAAAATATTAGTTTACAAATATATGTATTAAAAAACTAGAGGCCCAGTGCATGGAATTCGTGCACAACGGGATGGGGGTGGTCCTTCAGCCCAGCTTGCACCCTTTCCTGGACCCCTTTGAGTATGACTGACTGCCTCTCGTAATCCGGGATTGCTGGCTCTAACCACTCGCCTGCCTGTCTGTCTGATAACCCCTAACCCCTCTGTCTGCCTGATCGCCCCTAACCACCTCTGCCTGCCTGCCTGATCTCCCCTAACTGCTCTCCTACTGGCCTGATTACCCCTAACTGCCACCCTGCTGGACTGATAGCTCCTATCCTCCTCTGCCTCACCCCACACCCAGGACCCAGGATTCCCTCCTCCGGCTGATTACAGGCACCTGGGTCCCAGGCTTCCCCCCCCTCTGGCCAGCCACAGGCACCTAGGACTGAGGCTGGCTTTGCCGGGGCTGCCCACAGCTGCAGGGACCGTGGGCAGGCAGCTTTGGGCCACAGCCGCATGTGCCTGGGATCATGAAGCAAGCAGCTTGTCCCTCTTCCAGGCCACAGCCCCAGCTGCTAGTGCCCAGGACCACGGGGTGGATGACTTGTCCCTTTCCTGGGTGCATGTGCTGGAGGCTTGTCCACCTCCCAGGCCGTAGCTTGGCTGGTCCTCATTCCTCTCTCACAAGCTCATTTGTGCCTGTCTGGTCCCCATTCCTCTCTCCCCAGTATGGAGTGTTTGAGTTGTTATGGCATTAGGGTGTGATGACCATTTGCATATTAACTCTGTATTATATATATACTAGAGGCCCGGTGCACAAAATTTGTGCACGGGGGTGGGGGACGTCCTTCATCCCAGCCTGCACCCTCTACAATCTGGGATCCCTCTCATAATCCAGGACTGCTAGCTCCCAACTGCTCACCTGCCTGCCTTCCTGATTGCCCCTAACTGCTTCTGCCTGCCAGCCTGATCACTCCTAACTGCTTCTCCTCTGCCAGCCCGATTGATGTCTAACTGCTCTCCTGCCAGCCTGTTTGCCCCCAACTTCCTTCCTCTGCTGGCCTGGTCACCCCTAACTGGCCTCCCCTGCAGGCTTTATTGCTCCCAACTGCCTGTCCTTCAGGCTTGGTCCCTCTCAACTGCCCTCACTTGCAGGCCATCTTGTGTCCACATGGGGGCAGGATCTTTGACCACATGGGGGCAGCTATCTTGATCTTGTGTGTTGCAGAGATGGTCAATCTGCATATTACTCTTTTATTAGATAGGATAGAGGCGTGGTTCATGGGTGAAGGCCAGCTGTTTTGTCTTGGATCAGGGTGGGTGTTCCCTTGGGGTGTGGGGTGGGCTGGACAAGGGACCTATGGTTGTTTGCAGGCCAGCCATGTTTCTCGGTGACCCAAGCAGATGTCCTGATATCTGTGATATATTTATCTTCTACAATTGAAACTTTGTAGCCTGGAGCAAAGCCAAGCCTTCTGCTCGCTCAGTGGCAGCAGCCATTTCTGTTTGAATTTGTTTACCTTTTATAATTGAAACTTTGTAACAGGGAGTGGAGGCCTAGGTAGGCCAGGGCAGGTGGAAAGCTTCTCTTCCTCTGTTGCTGGGGGCAACCTTAGCCTGCCCTCTCCAGCTCACTGGCTGCCACCGTTTTTCTTGGGATTATCTTCTATAATTGAAACTTTGTGTCCTTGAGTGGAGGCCTGGGCTGGCCAGGGTGTGTGAAGCTTGGCTTCTTCCATTGCCAGGGAAATCCAAGCCTTCCTTTTGCTCTCTGTGGCAGCAGCCATCTTGGTTGGGGTTAATTTGCATAATCACTCTGATTGGCTTGTGGGCATGGCTTGTGGATGTAGTGGCGTGATGGTTAATTTGCATATTACTCCTTTATTAAGTAGGATATATGATATGACTGGCATGGTTGACCATTCTTAATTTTTTTTTATTTAGGGGATCATAATAACTGCTTAGTTAGCATGACTTGCAACAAGGAGAGAGATTGTTCAGATATTTATTGGCAGCAGTAACAATAGGGAGGGAGTAAAAGCGAAAGGCAGATTTAGAGCTTGCAAAAGACTTGACTTTGACTTGCCCCTCTGCCATGAAGATGGAAGAGGGTACATGAGAGAGAATGCAGGTGCCTTCTAGGTATAGAGTAGTCCTTGGATGACAGCCTGGGAGAAAATGGTTATACTTCAGACCTACAATCCACAAGAAACTGGATTTTGACCTCATTCTGAATGAGTTTAAGATGGATATTTCCCTAGAGCATCTAAGAGCCTAGGCTAACTAATGCTTTCATGTCAATGTTGGGAGACAAAGCAAAGAACCCAGTTGAGCTTGCCAAACTTCTGAACTATAGAACTATGAGCTAATAAATTTAGGTTGTTCTTAGTTGCTTAAAACAAACAATAACAACAAATTGGGAGGTTTTTTTTGTCTTTTGACAAGGGGAGGAATTTTTAAAAATATGTTTTTATTGAGTTCTAGAGATAGAAACATCAATGACATGCTCTAGCTGTTCTGGCTCAGTGGATAGAATGTCAGCCTGTGGACTGAAGGGTCCTGGATTTAATTCGGTCTAGGGCACATTCCTGGGTTGCGGGCTCGATTCCCATAGGTGCGTGCATGACAAAGCCAGTCAATGATTCTCTCTCATCATTGATTTTTCTATCTTTCCCTCTCTCTGAAGTAAAAAAAATATATATATACATATATATATATATATTTTTTTTAAAAAGAAAGAAACATTAATGACAGAGAAACATGAGATAAGGGCTGCCTCCTGCATGCCCCCTACGGGGATAGAGCTTGCAACCTGGGCATGTCCCCTGAATGGAAATTGAACCAGTGACCTCTTGGTTCTTGGGTTGAAGCTCAACTACCAAGCCACACTGTCCAGGCACAAGGGGAGGAATTTTTAATCAGAATTTTTGGTAGTTTTCTGAGCCCCTGTGTGTTTCTTTTTGGTATAAAGTACATTTCTTTAAAGAATAACTTTGTCATTATTTCTCCATTTAAAAAACACTTGATTGGCAAATTTATAGCCTTTGGGAATTGGAGGAAGGAAGGTTGGAATGGATAGATACGGTTGTCTGAAAATTGAATTTAAGATTTCAGTGCTTAAAATTTCTTCATAGGCTTTTGGCATTATTGAGGATAATAATACTAATTGTTGATTTATGTTTAATTTTTTAGCAATTGCTTTATGCAACTCATAGTTTAAAATAATCCCGATTTTTAGAAGATACCCAGAATTGGCATCTAGCTCTTAACATTATGCATCAGTAAAATTTTTCTAGTGTTTTACTAAGGTTAGATTTAGACTTTTAAAAAACCTCAGCTGAGCAGTTCTGGGTTAGTTAGTTAAAGTATTGACTTCTTAAAGTGTTAGTTAGTGATTTAAATAGATATTAAATGGAATTAAGCTATTTTAATTTTTTTTTTTTTCAGTATTACAAATCCAGGAATAATTATGTTCTAGGAATGTAACAAATTCAGTGCATATATATTTGTTTACATAAATTCTGGTGCACAGATATTTGTGTTATGGTAAATTCTCCTAGTTTTAAGTATAGAGAATATGTCATGTTTGTTTAATCATCAGTGGGTAATAACCCATTTGCTTCTTTTTAAGGCATTGCTAACATTGAAAATCTGTGGGTATACTGAAGAGATATGATGGGATCAATGTGTTTCTACCTAGAAACATATGTTTTAAAAACTGTTTGCATGTTCTTATATAAGGTATTTTTCAACTTAATTATTCTTGTTTCATTCACATGGTCAGTGTCTTTCTGCTAGTGAGTTTTGAAATATAAATAGTGTGTCTTGATTAAAATAAAAAAAGAATAGAAAATATCAGTTCATGGCACATTGTAAAGGTAAGTATTATTTTATCAAACTGAGTTGTGTGCATATAAATACATCTGTAGGGTTGAAATATACAGTGTTAGTTTTATGTCTGATTTAGAGATTCATATGTCTGCTGTAGAGATTCATATTGATTGTACATCCTACAAAAGCATGCAGTTAGTATTCAATTCTTATCACTATTTTAGTCAGTGAGATGCTCTAACTTCCTAGTGTCTAATTTCTCTCATGGGCATGTGTGCTTTTTTACTATCTTTTATATTATTTCTTTAATTTTAGAAACCATTTCTCATTTAGGTTTTTCTATAATGCCTTTCAACAGTTAGAAAAATGAGTTTGATTCTCATTGGATATACACAAAGCACTCTATAAACTGATGAACATTGGTGTGGACTGGTAGTTTGAATTACAGTTGATTCAGAGTTGCCCCATGGGATTCTGGACAGGTCATTCAGTCAGTCATTTAGTCAGAAGCCCATGATAATGCTTTTGATTGGCTGTTAGTTTGTGGACAGCTATTTCTATTCTTTGCACAGGATTGGTTTTCTGGGTCATTGAGAGTATTTATTACATAATTGTGGTGAAAATAAAATCTCAGTAATAAATCCTAACTTCTCTTTTATTTTGTTAAAATGTCAAAAGTAAAGGATTCATGAGCTCACTTAGAAGTTTTAAGAATTGTACTCTTTTTTCAGTCCATTGGAAGTTAAACTAAAAGACTGTCAATAGATAAGTTGGGCTCTGTACAAACATTGAAATGACAGTTAAGGAAAAAAGAAATATTCCCTGTGTAAGGGAAACTTGTTTAATATGGTATACTGTAGTTGTTTGCTCTCCTAATGGGGATATCAGGGAACTGTGTAAGTAATGGGGGAAGCTTCAGAGATGCTTCACAGAAGTGACATTTTCTTAACTTCTGTAAGAGGGTGTCTTTATAGTGGGGGCAGGCATGCGATGGGGGTTGGGTGGAATAGAAGTGTATTTTCTACATTGATTGATTAAGTTACTGAGTGCAGGTCAAGGTCAATTTTAAGTCTAGGGCTTATTATTTCTAAAATATGTTTTTATTGATCTTAGGGAGAGGGAGAGAAACATCCATTGGCTGCCTCCTACATGCCCTCCACTGGGAATCGAGCCCCAGCCCAGGCGTGTACCCTGACCTGGAATTGAACCAGTGACCTCCTATAGCTTGTGATGATGCTCAACCAAGTGAGCCACACTGGCCAGGCTCTAGGGCTTATTTTTAATTGTATACACTTTTATAGAAATGTCTTATCCAAGAGGAAAATGAAGAATTTCTAGTTTTACATAAATTGAAGTTAGCATGCTTTCATTTTTTAAAAAAAGTTATGAACTTAGGAACCTGTGAACTCTTAACTGTCTTAAAATTTACAATCAATCTTTGTCACTGTATGTATAGAATGCATTTTTACATTGTTATAAATCTGTGTATGTATTAATTTGTGCTTCACCTTTTTACTTATTCCATAGATATATAAGTACACAATATATATATTATATATAATATTTTAAAAATGTATGTACATAGTTCATATAGTTTTCCTTTAATGGCAGTGTGCAGTTGCATCTTGTTATATCATAGTTCATTTGGCCTTTAACTTGCTCAGAGATATCTTGGATATACTCAGTTTCTTGTCATAAATTCTACAATTGTGAACATTTTTGTTTTATAGTGTGCTTTTCATTAAGTCTTATTTAAGGGAATAGCCTTATTTCCCTTATTGTAAGGGAAACTGTTCCAATGGTAACATCTATTTTAAAAATTGAAATGGCTGCTATACAGCAATGTTTCTAATCATCTGATTTTCAGGACTAGCTTCTGATTAAAACCACAGGGGGTTAAAAGCTGTAGAGTCACAATAGTGAAATTGTAACCATTAGGTTTGAAAGTTAGACATGCCCATACTTTGAAAGTGACTACCTTGTCTTCCCCTTTTTTGATTTTTTTCTTGCTTCCGCTTACTTGCATTTCTTTTCCCACAGTTGTTTGTTGCTGGTTTGATTGTGCTGCTGTTAGATGAACTGCTACAGAAGGGTTACGGCCTGGGGTCTGGTATTTCCCTCTTTATTGCCACCAACATCTGTGAAACCATTGTCTGGAAGGCCTTTAGTCCCACTACTATTAACACTGGCAGAGGTACAGCACAGTGACTGCGACTGCATGAGTGTTGCTGGATGTGTATTGAAAAGTAACACGCAATGGAGCAGTACATGCCTGTAGATATCTGGGCTTACTGTTCCAGTGGACAACTGATGCTATTTATTCAAAATTATTAGCAGAGATTTGTGGAGTCTGAAATATTACTTCAAAAAGAATATCTACATTTTAGCCTCTGCTTATTCAAAATTTCAGTGGTCCCAAGCATTTTGAACATTTTTATTTGCTTAAGCTATTGCTGCAGAACTCATGAATTTGACCAATTTCAGCATTGCAAGGGGGATCAAAAGGTAGTGGATTAAGATTTTTGAAATGAAAAAATCTGTTATTCTTTGTATCATCAGGGAGCACTAATACTTTTGCTGCTATTCTACTTGGCTTGGTATTCGCACCTAAATTTTGAAATATTTCTACTCTTTCCTTTTACCCATTTTCACTTCTCTCAAAAATGCCATGCTAGATTTGTAAGGGTTAACATCTAAGCTGATCCCAGCCTTAAAATAGCAACAATGGTTTATTAATGTTCATGGTAAAATGAACTTAAAGGCAAGCTTGGTAGAGTAACATATATCTTTTGAATCTGACCTCTACTCTGCTTTGCTGCTGCCATTCCCCTCCCTTACCCGTACTCTCTTCCCTTCTTGAAACTAAAGGAGAAGCAAAGCATTATGAATGAAATAGTTTTTTGGCTTACTCTACTTTGGTTGTTTCCATCAAGAAACTTCTCTTGAGAAACTTCATATTTGTGCTAAAAACATACATTTTGCCTCAGTGATCAAAATATTTTAGAAGCTCCACATAAGGCTATATTATAAATGCTGATGAATTATTTTCACTCATATTTTTTGCTGTGTACTGGAGTTCCAAGGTTATTTGTTTTGACCTTTGGGATAACTTTGAATGATGCTTCTACAGTCAGTTAATTTTTCTCTTGGTTTATCAGGTACCGAGTTTGAGGGTGCAGTCATAGCTCTCTTTCATTTACTGGCCACCAGGACCGACAAAGTCCGAGCTTTAAGGGAGGCTTTCTACCGTCAGAACTTGCCCAATCTCATGAACCTCATCGCTACTGTTTTTGTGTTTGCTGTTGTTATATATTTTCAAGTAAGTATACTTTCTTTCTAAAGTAAGTGGGATGTGGGTTTTTATTTTGCTGTTAAAGAGAAGGCTATTTGAAATGTTAGTTTCTAATAACTCAGTGTTTCAAAATCTAGTCAAGCAAATAATTCCTTTGCGACGGAGGTGTAAATAACAAAAAGTACAATGAAAATGAAATAGAAAGGGATTTCTGTTTGCATGCCTCTGTGTGGAAGGGTTAAGTTTTATAGCATTATCTTTTCATACTCCCTACTGTTTCTGCTTTGGCTTTCTGTATTCTTTATATGATACCAGAGGCCAGGTGCACAAAATCCGTGCACCGGTATGATTCCTAGCCTGGCCGGCAGTCAGAGCGCCGCTCGCTCTTCAGGGTGATCTGCAGGGCAGTTGGGCTCCCGCCCGACTCCCTCAGCGCCTGGGAGCCAGGTGCAGTCCCGCTCCGCCTCTGCTGGTCGCTGTCTGTGAGGCTGTTGGCGGGGATATTGGGCCCTGCCTGCACTCACCGTGGCCTGGCGCCACCTGCTCATTGGCTCCATCTTCCCACTGCTGCCCCGCTCTTGTTGGGGCCCATTGGGGCTGCCAGTGCCGATTGCTGACCCTGCCATGTTCCACGCTGCCCCTGGTCGTCAGCACACATTGTAGTGAGCATCAAACTCCCGGTTGAACTCCCAGTTAAGGGGACAATTTGCCCATTATGCTTTTATTATGTAGGATTATATAGGATGTACAGTTTCTCTTATTCTGAATTTTCACTTTGTAGGGATTTCGTGTTGATTTGCCCATCAAGTCGGCTCGGTATCGAGGACAGTACAGCAGCTACCCCATCAAGCTCTTCTACACCTCGAACATCCCCATCATTCTTCAGTCAGCCTTGGTGTCAAACCTCTACGTTATTTCCCAGATGCTGTCTGTTCGATTCAGTGGAAACTTTCTAGTTAATTTATTAGGACAGTGGGCAGTGAGTATTTTATTATTTATTCAAGTGTTTCCGTTTATTGTAATTTGCATTTTATAGTTATATTTTTAAACTGAAAGACATGAACCATAATCGAAGTAGTTGCTGTAACATTTTTAGAGTCACTTAAATAGGAAGCATTTTTGCATCTTTTTTGAATGATCTTTTAGGCTAAAATCACATGGTTCTCATTCTGTTTTATAATCTCATTCCACTATTGTCTGGAATGTTTTTTAAAAGAAGCTATTTGTTGATAATATATGGAATACAGAAATCAACCTTTCCTGTTTCTCCCTGTTTTTCATAGCCTGCATGGCACTAAACTGGTTTGTGATTAACTGGGCAGGAGACAGGCATGTAATTACTAAACTGAAGAGAGAACAGATGCTAGAAATAGAATCCAGTAAATTCTAACTTCGTTTTATTTGGGCTTGGTATCAGAGTTTCTTCTAAAGCAGTCCACCTACATTGTTATCCAAGTGTTATGTGGGATTGGATTGAAATCTGATTGGTTTAAATTCTATCACCCGACCAAGGAGTATTTTTCTCTCCTTTAAAACTATAGAAGTAAAAAATACTAAGATCCTTTATTCTTTTGCAGAGTATGTAATTCTAGAGTTTATATTGCACTAAAGAATATTATTTTTAGTCATTATACTGAAGTATGGTGCTTAATGTATTGTGCATCTTAATATGCTATCTTTTACATTATAAGTTATAGTGACTGACATATCTTTGTTTTTACTGAAGGTAATTTTAAAAAGAAATTTAACAGGGTAAGATAGTGGTTTTTGAATGTTAGTTGGAAGAAATAGGATTTGCTCTATTTATAATATTCCTTTTCCATTCATTTAACAGAAATTTGATTACCTGTGATGAGGGGAGGAATCTTTTTCTCCCCTCTTGAACTAATAGTCCAGCTAGAATTATTACTATAAAAATTTCAAAGTAATAAGTGCATTGAATGGTTGTATAAAATATGTTGTGACCTTGACTAAGATTTTTTTAAAATGAGAGAATTATTGAATTTGTCTATAAACAATGCTTTTGATTTGGTAATATTAACTCTAGGGGCATAGTAAAAGAATCATTTGGAAGTATAAGTTCAAGAATCAAGATAAATTAATCTTTGCAACCAAAAACTTCTTTCTCACATCCTGTATCCCAAATGTTTTATTTAATAAGAGCAAATACATGCGGGTCCCATTTCTGTTATTACAAAAATTCTTAAATATTAGTGTTGCTAAAAATCCCATTGTATATATTTATCAAAACTCTTATACAAATAATGTTTAGGCAGTGAGTTGTTAGACTTCTGTCAATATTTCAATTGATTACATTCTTTTAAAAAAATATATTTTATTGAGTTTTTACAGAGAGGAAGAGAGAGTTAGAAACATCAATGAGAAAGAATCATTGATCAGCTGCCTCTTGCACACCCCCTACTGGGGATGTGCCCGCAACTATGGTACTTGCCCTTGACCGGAATCGAACCTGGGACCTTTCAGTCTGCAGGCCAATGCTCTATCCACTGAGCCAAACCGGTCTCAGCTTGATTACATTCTTAATAGAATACTTTGAAATGAAAGAACCATGTTTAAGGAAGGGTTTTAATGTATTGCATACTCTTTTTATGTTTTTATTTATTTTATATTTTATTGATTTTTTATAGAGAGGAAGGGAGAGAGAGAGAGAGAGAAAGAGAGAGAGAGAGAGAGAGAGAGCTAGAAACGTCGATGAGAGAGAAACATTGACCAGCTGCCTCCTGCATACCCCCTACCGGGGATGTGCTCGCAACCAACGTACATGCCCCTGACCGGAATCGAACCTGGGACATTTCAGTCTGCAAACTGACGCTCTACCACTGAGCCAAACCGGTTTTGGCTCTTTTTGTTTTTATTCTCTTTTGTTGGAAATATTACAGATGTACCCTTCTTGTTTTCCTCATTGACCCCACTCCTCTCTGTTCCTGTCCATTCCCCAGGCCTTCATTGCATACTTTTATATAGTTTAGAAAATTTTAGATTCTAAATGTAATAAGAGATTGACTATAGCCCTAGTTGGTTTGGCTCACTGGATAGAGTGTTGGCCTGAGGACTGAAGGGTCCCAAGTTCGATTCTGGTAAGGGGTGTGCGCCTTGGTTGGAGGCTCAATTTCTTTCTCACATAGATGTTTCTCTCTGTCTCTCCCCATCCCTTCCACTTGCTTTAAAAAAAAAAAAAAAAAGATTAATGGAAAAATATCCTTAGAATTAACCGGGGAAAAAAAGAGAGATTGACTGTAAATGTAGTCTTATTCCTATTTTATCATATATTTTTTTCTTAAATCATTCTTCTGTTATTAATATATCTATATCTTTATGTAAGAGATGCTCACTATATAATTTTGAAGGAATAAAGATACTAGATATAAAAGCAAATCCTTATTTATAACCATTAGCTGTAGGTGCTTTGAGCTTAAACCATTGTCATAATTTTTGAGGAGTTTGAAAAGTTATAAAAATGTATGCTTGAAAGTCAGGTTGGCTATTTGTTATTTTCTTTCTTGTTCTGTAGGATGTCAGTGGGGGAGGACCTGCTCGCTCTTACCCAGTGGGAGGCCTTTGTTATTATCTTTCTCCTCCTGAGTCTATGGGTGCCATATTTGAGGATCCTGTCCATGTGGTTGTGTATATCATTTTTATGCTGGGATCATGTGCATTCTTTTCCAAGACATGGATAGAGGTGTCTGGTTCCTCAGCCAAAGATGTAAGTATTTGCTTTATTTCAAAATAAAAATAATTTATAAATTTTAGATGTCAAATCATATTTTTGTAAATTAAACTTTAATTCATACTTTAATAATGAGGTAATATGACCTCGCTATAGGGTTAAAATTGGTTCCTGATAGCTGAAACAGACTTTACAATGGTTTGTGACTCTCCAAAGCTCAACCCTACCTGACAAAATATTATTTCTTAGTATTAATTTTTCTTGAGAGGTGATAGTGAAAAATGATTGAGAACACTGGCTTAGTTTATGGGTACTGTGGCTGTGCAGTATTGTAGCCTCAGTGTCCTCAGATTTAATAGGAATGATATGCCAGTGCCTACTTCGGGGTTCTTGTTACCTTATTAGTGTGTAAAAAGCACTTCACACAGAACCGAGTATAGTGACCAGTGTAATGTTGGTTTGATTTTAAAAGTTGTGTTTTGCTCGACAGGTAGCTAAACAGCTTAAAGAACAGCAAATGGTGATGAGGGGCCACAGAGATACCTCTATGGTCCATGAGCTTAATAGGTAAGGTCATTTGATTTCATTTTTTGCAGGGTGGGAGCAGGCAACATATACTCAGTTTTTCGTTTCTTGCCAAATGTTCTTTATTTGTTTAAATTCGTATTTTCAGCATTTCTACTTTACACAAAAGGACAAAAATGTAACATAAAAGTTAATTGTTCTCATCAAAATGACAACTAAATTAGTTTAATTGGAATTGTGTTCCCCTTCACAGCTCAGCCAAGTGTTAAGATACAGATGGGAGGTTTTCATTATTGGCTGGCTGTACAGAAAATCACCTGTGAGCTTTTAAAAACTACTAACATCCTATCTTTAGGAAAGGTGATTCCTTTGGTCTGGAGTGGGTGGGTCCCAGTTTTTGGTAACAGCTTTATTGGTATAATTCACATACTGTGTAATTCACTCATTTGAAGTATATGGTTTAGTGTTCTTAATTTTTTAAAAACAGTATATTCAGTGTGTGTAATCATTATACTCTTAATTTTAAAAACATTTTCACGACTCAGAAAGAAACCTTGTACCCATTAGTTATTTCCCATTCCAACCCTTCTCCCCCCTTCCTGCCCAAGGAAACTTTTTACCTTCTGTCTCTATAGATGTGCCTATTCTGAACATTTCATATATAAGGAATCATATATTTTAATTTTTTGTGAGTAGCCTTTTTTTTTTTTAGCATAGTGTTTTCAAAGTTCATCCATTATCTGTGAATATTCCATTGTGTGGATAACATTTATTTATCCATTCACTGGTGGATAGATATTTGGGTGTTTCCACTTTTTGGCCATTACGAATAATGCCGTTATGACCATACTTATGTTTGTGTGGGAGTATGTTTTCATTTCTCTAGGAATGGAATTGAGTCATACAGTAATTGTTTCACATGTTGAGGAACTGCCTTACAGAGGGGCTATATATGTGTGAAGGTTCCAGTTGCCACACATCCTCTCCAGCACTAGTTTTTGCTTTTTGATTAGTATATAGTCACCTACTGGGTATGAAGCGATATCTCATTGTGGTTTTTATTTGCTTTTCCTTGATGAGAAATGATGTTGAGTATTTTTTCATGTGCTCATCAGCCATTTGTGTATTGTCTTTGGAGAAATGTCTGTTAAAATATTTTGCTCATTTTAATTAGTTTTTTGTTAATCCTCACCCAGGGATATTTTTCCCATTGATTTTTGAGAGATCCGAGATTGATGGGAGAGAGACACATGGATTGATTGCTTCCTGAAGGCGCCCCCACCTGGGTTGGGGGTCAAACCAAAGTATGAGGTATATGCCCTTGACTGGGAATCAAATCCATGAACCTTTGGTCCCTGGGCTGATGCTCTAACCACTGAACAAACCAGCCAAGGCTATTTTGCTCATTATTGTTTTTTGTTTTGTTTTATTACTGAGTTGTAAGATAATTTAAAGAACATTTTAGATGTCTCTTGTTAGGTATGTTATTTACAAATATTTTGTCATTCTTTGGGTTGCCCTTTCACTTTCTTGATGGTATCCTTTGATGAACAAGTTTTTAATTCTGATGTTCACTGTATCTGTTTTGTCTTTGGATGCTTTGTGCTGCTGTTGTATCTACGAAACCACCATTGCCTAACCCAAGGTCATAAAGATTTCTTTTCTCTTAGGAGTCTCAGCTTAGATTTCAGTCTGTGATCCACTTTGAACTAACTTTTGTTTGGTGTGAGATAGGCATTCAGATACTTTTGCATGTGGATATCCATTTGTTCCATAATTATTTGTTGAACAGGCACTAGTATTTATATTTGAATTTTATTTATTGAGAACATAGACTGCAGAGAATAGTATAATGAATCTGCCATGTACCCGTGTATATCTAGCTTTAATAGTTATTATTCCATCATTTTACCCTAATCTTTTTTCTTTTTCTTTCTGGAGAGTATTTTAAATACAATCCCATTATTTTTAAGTTCTCCAGGTGGTTATAACATGCAGCCATGGTCCAGTTACTGTTAGATTATCCAAATCTTGTCACATAAATGTCATTTAGAAATCATTTTGAAATTCATTGTTCATTTAGAAGAAGGAGCTAAAGGTTACCTACTTTAAAATATTAAACATTTTAATACTTAAATCTAGTTGAGGATTCTGATCTGATCAAAATCTTTATGCCTTTCTTGGCTATTAACTGGCTTTTCAAAATCAGGGAGCAAGTCATTCCCTTAGTCAATTTTCATCAACATGTAACCACTATGGACAACCCACCAGTACTGCAGACTTCTCTGTTAGATCAATCACACTTCTACATACATATTACTGCTTTTGTTGCCCCTTTTCAGTTCCCTCTGCTGCCTGACTTGGTTTTGTCTTCCAGGTATATCCCCACCGCAGCTGCATTCGGCGGTTTGTGTATTGGCGCCCTGTCAGTGTTGGCCGACTTCTTAGGGGCCATTGGCTCTGGCACTGGAATTCTGCTTGCAGTCACTATTATTTATCAGTATTTTGAAATATTTGTTAAGGAACAGGCTGAAGTAGGTGGGATGGGTGCTTTGTTTTTCTAAATGTTTCAATATTTTTGTGTGAAGGGAAAACATAATGCTGACTCCATTCTCCCCCCTCCCCTTTTTTTTTAAGTGCTAACTGTCCCATTTTTGAAATGGGCACCGAGCTTAAGTCTGTGTGCAGCATTAGTACCAGCTGCCTTAAAACTGAAGTTTACATTACTCGTTAGAACGTGTACATGTAGTGTTGCCTGTGATGCTGGAAACCAATGTACCTGCCTTGCCGTGTTCAGTTTTGACGGTGAGGTAATGTGGATCAGTTTTGCACACATTCAAAACACTCAGCATTTCCCCCACTTGTTTAAAATATAGTTCAAATTGCCACTTTCCAGTATTTTGGGCTTATCTATATTTTACATATAATTTTTATACTTGTGTAGCATCCATGTTCCAGCCCTCCCTCTTCATCCCTCCCCTTTGTCCCTTCTCAAAGGAGCCACTTAGCCCAGATGGGCCAAGTCAAGCCTCTGTCATTAGAAAAACTGCTTGTAATTACTATTCATGTTTTCCATTCTTCCTTCCCAGTGACAGCACAGTTGGTGCTGTTTTTACTGTATTGGCTATGCCTTTGAATCCCAAGTCACTTGAGAAAGATCTTTCAAGAAACTGTGCCCCAGTTGTGTTTTTCTTTTTTTTTAATCCCTAGAGACGTAATTCTCAAGCAGTGTCTGTAGTTCAGTGGGGGTGAACAATGAGTAATTCATGCTAGGAATCTGTGTACGTTGTTGTACTTTGTAGCAGCAACATGAGTGTAAACAGTAGACAATAAACTTTTATTTAATACAACTGTTTCAGTTGTGTTGGAAAAATAAAATAAAAATCTGAAATTAAATGCTTCATGTAGGTTCATTGTATTCATACAAAATCTATCCTGAGATGCCTATTGCAAGAGGTAAAATGTTGACCTAATATAGAATTCAGGTCTCTTCTAACTCCTTGAGTTTATTAGGAATACCTAATAAATTTTTTGGATTAGGTTAGATAACAGCTTAAGTTAAAGAAAATGGATTAAACATATTTGCATTTAGTATTTAAATGAAGGCTATAGCTTACCTATTATTATAATTCCATACCACCACATGCATATTTTTTATTTTATTGAAAAGGTAATTTCAAATTTCCATTAAATTTAGCTGAATACAAAGTCTTAGTGAAGGAGACCTTATGACCTTATTTATAAAACAAAAACATGGCTACTCTCCTCAAGCTTCAAAATTTCAGGAAGGGCACTTCAAATGGCTTTGTATTTGCATGTTTCAGCGCCAGAGCATAGGAATAGACCCTAGCATCCACTGTCAGATGTTCTTCAGTTACCAGTGCTACAGGAAGCAAAGAATATAAGTCAGACAATGATGTTAATAAAAGATAATACCCCTTGTCATTCAGTCAATATTTACTGGGCAATTACTATATACCAGTCCCTATGCTAGATGCAGGTAAAAGTGAACAAGACATTTTCTGCCTTCAAGGATCTTACTCTAGTGGAAGAAAGTGTGTGTGTGTGTGTGTGTGTGTGTGTGTGTGTGTATGTATGTATATATATGCCTAAGTGACCATGATGACTAAACAACGGGAACAACTGGTTCCACCAGCGGGCAGACAATACAGGAGCTGCCTCCTGGTGGTCAGTGTGCTCCCGCAGCCAACCTCCTGAGGGGTCCCACGCCTCAGGTGGCAGTTGGCAGGCCCTGATCAGGACTAGGCAAGATGGCCCCCATAGGCCCTGATCACCAGCCAGGCTTAGGGACCTCACCTGTACACAAATTTTGTGCAATGGCCTCTATAAAAGCAGGGTTACATTTCAGCTTGGGACAAGAGCAAAAAAGAATAAAGATAGAAGAGCCTATCAGAGATGATGATTTTGTGTGTTAAAATAGCAAAACTTTATAGACTCACTTTTTCATTTATAGCTCACTACTGGACTCTGCTAATATGAAGCTGTATAGTGATGAATACTCAGTTATTTATTGAAGACTCATTCGTGTGTCTTTCCTGCTGCTAGGGGATAATTTTGCACATACACATTAACTGTGTGCATGGTAGGATTAGAATTCTATAAAAAATGAGATCTCAGAGTCCTAACTGATTTGGCTCAATAGATAGAGCATTGGCCTGCGGACTGAAAGATCCCAGGTTCGATTCCGGTCAAGGGCATGTACCTTGATTGCAGGCACATCCCCAGTAGGGTGTGTGTAGGAGGCAGCTGATCAATGTTTCTAACTATCCCTCTCCCTTCCTCTCTGTAAAAATTCAATAAAATATATTTTTAAAAAAATGAGATCTCAGACTCTTATTACAAAGAACTTTAGTGGAGATTATCAGACTTCAAATTTGTTTTGTTTTCCTAGCCACTTGTTTAGGGACATGCTGAGACATTTTAATCCTTGGAGGCAGGGTTATGTCCTAGTCATCTGCATGCAGGTGCTTGGTAAGTGTTGAAAGCTTATTCCTTGTAGCAAGTTAAACTCAAGAACTTTCCTACTTCTCAAATGTGATGAATAAATGATTTGATTACTATCTTTCGATTCTAGTAAAGCTAGGAGAACTGGCTCTTTTACCCCTCCCCCTTCTCTATAACCCTTTCTACCTTCCTTTCTCCCTCTCTTGCTTCATATTTCCCCCTTTTCTAAGGCCAGAAGGGAAGTTAACTTAGGTGGAAGGAAGAAGGAATTTAAAAATAAAATTTGCTGATATAAAAAAATAAAAAGAGCATGTAACATTTAAGCACTGTGTGTCAACAATATCCCATTTATTCATGTCTCCGCAGACTGACTAGGGGCTATCTAGTCCATATATGAGAGAAGCTCAGAGAGGCTATGAAACTTGTTCAAAGTCATAACTAATAAATGTTTGAGCCTCTAACCCAGTCAGATTTGTCAGACTCAAAGTTAAATCCTGCCTGTAATTGATGGCCATGGCTTTATCTGAGGAAATACCTAATGAATTATTGAGTCTTCAGTACAAGTATTTCTAATTTTGACTTTGAATTTAAAGGTGACTTTTACCTTAGGTTTAATTTTTAAAATGGCAAAGTAGGAATGGAAACTTTCTGGGAATCTGAAATCACCGCAGTTTTTGAAAGACCCACTTTACTTTTTAAACAAGCAACATAGACATTAGAAATAAAATTATAAGCCATTGGTACTTAAGGGAGGTAGAAAGAGACTGTTCTCCAAGCTTCAGGTGAAACTTGCAAAGAATATAAGTCAGACAATGATGTTAATAAAAGATAATACCCCTTGTCATTCAGTCAATATTTACTGGGCAATTACTATATACCAGTCCCTATGCTAGATGCAGGTAAAAGTGAACAAGACATTTTCAGGGCTTTGAATTAGTTTTTGAAACAGAAATTAGATAAGTGAACAGGCACCCTGCTCAGCCTGTGCAGAGAAGCTTCTTAAAAGGCCTCTCATGTCTTCAGTGCAGTGTATCCTGATGTACTTCTATCAAAGAACATCTGTCCACATAACCTTATTTTTTATTTTATTTAAAAAAAATCCCTAACAGATGAGCTGGCCAGGAATTTCACAATAGATTGCTAACTATATGACCAATAATTTACTAAGGGTCACACAGCTAGTTTGTATGGTTCATTATATCAGCACATTGCACTTAGCATATAGTAGGTATCAATATTTATAGAAGGAATATTATTCAATTCTCCTTTAACTTACACCTGCACAAAGAACCATCTAACAACTAGCATATTTGAGAATCAGCTAAGTGATATCTAATTTGCCTCTGCATTGTTATGGGTTAAAGATTTAAGGTGTAGAATAGTTTGGGCTAATTAGCAGGAATATAATGTTGACTCTTCTAAAGGACAAAAAAAGCCCCCGGCCGAAAGCTCAGGTGAAAGCTTTCATTGACATGGGATGTTTTGCTCTATTTTCAAATTCTATGCCACCAGAAAGGAAAAGTATTATTGGTCAACTGCAGCTTTACAACAGTTTCCAGGTATTTGACTTTAAGGAGGAACAATATAAAGAAACAATTCTCCTTAGTTCCCCTTTGCTGGGGATGGGGAGGAGGAAACGAGAGAAAGTTCGGTAATATTCTCAGGAAAGCTTACCTTCGAGTCTCTTCATCAGGTCATTCTTTGGTAAGGAAATTACTTCCACAAATTCTAAACAAACAAACCACAAGTGAAAACAAAACTAAAGAACGGGAGAGCCTACCAGAATAACACAAATGCCTGTAGCCATATACATTGTCAGCCACTGCGAGTTGAATAACATACCTCCATCTCCTGAAAATAAACAGAAGGAGAAAATTTCAGCAAGGCCTGGAGTGGTAAAACATTGGAAGATTTTTGTGCAAGACAAATAGAATCTGAGAGCAGTAGTCCTTGGACAAAATGAAAGGTGAGGCAGAGGGTGGCTGCCTGTCAACTTGAAAGGGAGGGAGGAAGGGGAACATTTTTTAATTGCTTAAGATGCTGGAAACTTCACCCATACCACTTCACTTTTTTGTTGTTAATCCTCACCCGAGGATATTTTTACCATTAATCTTTAGAGAGTGAAAAGGAGGGGGAGAGAGGAAAACATTGATGTGTGGGACACAGCGATAGGTTGCCTCCTGCACGTGCCCCAACCAGGCTGGGGATGGAACCTGCCACATAAGTGCTTGGACTGACACTCTAACCACTGAGCACACCAGCCAGGGCCTTCCATCTTTTCTTAACCTCACTTCAATATCTACACAGTCTGCATGAGTGCTAACTCAGAACATACTGGTCTTTGAAAATAAAAAGGCTAGCCTATATAATAAAAGCCTAACATTCTAAGTGTCTGGTTGGCCGTTCAACCAATCAAAGCATAATATGCTAATGATATGCTACGGCCTCTCAACTGCTTGCTATGATGTGCACTGACCACTAACGGGCAGATGCTCTGATCAGTAGGTTAGCTTGCTGCTGGAGTCCGGCTGATCAGGACTGAGCAAGATGGGCTGGACATGCCCTGGAGTCCTCCAGGCGTCCCTCCCTGGCTGTCCAAGCTCCTGTGTCCCTCCCCAGGCTCGATCATGCACAGGTGGAGTCCCTCGGCCTGGCTTGCTCCCTCTTGCGATCCGAGACCCCTTGGGATGTCGGAGAGCCAGTCTTGGCCCAATCCTGCAGGCCAGGCCGAGACCCCCCACTGATGCACAAATTCATGCACCGGCCCTCTAGTAATATAATAGAAGCCTGGGTCACAAAACTTAACATGTTCACCATTTTTAAAGTTATAATTCAGTAGTATTAAATAGGTTTACATTGTTGTGCAAACATTAGGACTATCTCAAGAACTTTTTCATCATCCCAAATGGAAATCTGTTACCCATTGAACACTAACTTCCCCATCCCTATACCTCTGTTTTCTGTCTCTATGAATGCACTAACTCCAGGTATCTCCTATTAGTGCAGTCACACATTATTTTTCCTTCTGAGTATGGCTTCTTTCACTTAGCACAATGTTTCTAAAGTTTATCCAAGTTATAGCATGTATCAGTCTCTTACGGCTGAATTTTATTTCATTACATGAATATACCACATTTTGTTATCCATCTGTTAATGGAAGCTTGGGTTGCTTCTACCTTTAGGGTATTCTGAGATGCTATATGAACATTGGTGTACAAGGTATCTGTTTGGGCCCCTGCTTTCAATTTCTAGGAGTATAATTAGGTATATACCTATGAGTGTTACTGCCACATCAATTTGCTACTTTAAAAAATCAAGCATTTAAAATAAGCCGCAATGGGATGCCAAAGCATTTAGGAACAACTAAAGGATGGGAAATGGAAGGCATCACTCTCATACAGGATTTCTTATGATGTATGTATGATCACCTTGTTTGAGGGGGTGGTGAGGAACTGAGAGAGGCATTAAAGCTTCTAATTCTAAACTTGCAAAGAAATAGAGAGCAAAGAATTTACTGAAAGCTTTTCTAGGAGTTAAGCTGCTGTTATGTAATAATTACTTATGCCATTCCTATAATCACTGAAGATATAAATCAGTGATTTTGATGATCTTCAATGTTTACTATTTAGCTTCATACAGAAAATATGGAAATGTGTAATTTAACATTTTATTTTAAGAAATCATAAAAATAAGAGGTAAAAGAATAATGCTAAAATATACAAGATTATGAAAATAGCCAGGAATACTCATGAAGCTTCTGCAAAAGACAATTATTCTTTTGACCAATCAAAAATCAATCTAGTAACTTAGAAGTTAAATGATATTTAATGGAGTTCATCTACCTTCAATGTAGCTAACTTACCTGGATTTGGCTTGGGTCTTACATTTTCAGCCTCATCTCCATTAATAGTTACTGTCACGATGTGTGTGGTACAGTTTGACAAACCTGGATCCATACATACAGCTATGGAGAGAAGCAGCAGGTCATTTTTACAGACACCAGTCAGATGTCATATTTCATAACTTAAATGTCTTTGGAAGAAGACTGGCCTCATAATTCCTTTAACACAGAATTTATGCATGAAAACTAGTTTAATTCTAGTCAGTATATGCTGTAGGACTGTAGAGCATAGAAGTGGTCAGTATTCATGTTTTCCCCAGAGTTCCTGCGTAACATTTGGTGAGTCTGAGGGGTTAGATGGTCCTACTGACATGTAAATCCTTTTACTACATCAAGAAAAAAATCTCGCCGGGACTGGTTTGGCTCAGTGGATAGAGCGTTGGCCTGCAGACTGAAAGGTCCCGGGTTCGATTCCGGTCAAGGGCATGTACCTTGGTTGCGGGCACATCCCCAGTAGGGGGTGTGCAAGAGGCAGCTGATCGATGATTCTCTCTCATCGATGTTTCTAACTCTCTATCCCTCTCTCTTCCTCTCTGTGAAAAATCAATAAAATATTAAAAAAAAAAGAAAAAAGAAAAAAATCTCCAAAGGAGCATGGCATGTGCATACGGTGTGAATAGAATAAAGCTCAGATGTGAGAAATTCTGGAAGGCAACACAATTTCCTAATTCTTCTCCAGTTTCAGGTCCTCTCTGTTCAAACTTCCTCTCATTTGGAAGAGATGGGAAGTTTACGTGCCCAAATGTAATTATGATTTCAGTGAATTAGCTGAAATAAAATTTATCTGAATTCTTCCCATAAAGAACACCCAAACAATCAATCCTTTTATACACAGAAGAATCTACTGTCCCACATGCACCCCTGGAAAGCAATACAAACCTGGAGAACATTCAGCAACATCACCTTTATAGCCAGTTTCTTCTTCCAGCTCCCGCAGAGCAGCTGCTTCGGGGCTTTCGTTATCATCTATGAGACCTGGAAGTCCAAATCATTTGTGAGGTGGGAGACGGAAGTCCACTTTTCTTTGATCCTCTCCTAACACAGCTGCTGCTGAGCTACGTGAGAAGAATCAGAGGATTGTGAAAAGTGGTCTTACAGATAAATCTGAGGTTTGGAACTTTTATAGGGAAAAAAAAAAGGACAAAAGCATGAAACCCTGGGCAGATTAAGTTGGTTCTGACAGTCCTCATCTATTCTCTTTACTTAGACCTAGATTGTTTTCCAAGCATCTCAGCACTAACTAATAGGCAGCATAACTAATAACAGCATTGGCAGCATCGACCTGTGAGGACAAGTGGCTTGGTGGTGCTGACTGGTCCAGGTTTTGGACCTAGCTATGTGTCTACAGCACAGGAAGCCTGTTAACTCAGTTTCCTCTCATGTTAGATAGGACAGTTGTCACCTATCCCACCTTCCTCCCTCACAGAACAATGTGGAGACCCTGCAGTGAAACGCCAAGATGAAGATCACTTCTGAGGAAGAAGAACAGAAAGGACAGAAGCGAAGGCTGGTGGACTTTACTGTGGTCACTGTGAGAAGTGGAGAGAGGTCAAGTGGGAGGAGGGCAGTAGCAACTCTGAGTCATTTTCCTGAAAGGAATAAAAATTGCAAAAAGAAAGTGAAATATAGGCTATTCTATTAATTTCCTTAGTGAAATGGTAAGTAAATGAGAGAGAAAATAAAGTTAATTATACATTACAGAATGAGATGGTATTTAAAAATATAAAACTTAAACCACTAATGATAAATTCAATCTAATCTCTTCTGATGGAACAAACCAATTAAATCCTATAATAATACACTGCGTAAGCTCTAGATAGCTTAACTTACTGTGCAACTGAAAAAATATTTTAGTGGAAATGAAAACAATTTATTTGGTCTACATACATGCGGGAAGGCCAAGATATCTTTTCCATTCATCATTTTTGGAGTCTGGCCTAGTTATTACTATACATTTCTTGTCAGAGGCAGATTGCTAGTGATAGAAGATGAAGTAAATTGACAAATTAGCAAAAAGCAATTACTCAGAGAGCTAGAAAGAATGTGGGAAAGGAGGGAAGGTGGCGGTGAGCTGTGACACCGCCTTTCTGTCACCTCTATGGGTTACTGCACCAGGAGAGTGTGGCTGGAGGTGCTGCACTACAGAAATGGTTTTACTGAACTTAGAAGCCCAGGGACAGATACAAAGGTTTAAATGTCTAAACCCTGCAGTACTCAGGCTCTGCCCTGGCTCTGCCCGACCAGTCCCAAGAAGCAGTTCTGTTCCCTGTGTGTAGACTCACCTGCAGGGAATTCCAGGCAGTAGCTTCCCATGGGTGGACGGAACTGTTTCACCAGAATGACACATTCATAGTGAAGAGTTCTTTGCAGTACTGGGATAATCACCACACCTGTCACCAGGAAATAAGACGAAGTCTCTAATGAAAGGTCAGTCTGTTTACAGCAATCTAACTAAAATCCCATATTTTAAGAAATGCTGCATCTGAAATCTACCTTACTTTAGCCACTAGCAACAGGGAGTTAAAAGCTACAGTACTGGCAGTGAACTTGGAAGTTATTCTCACTTAGAAATTAATTACTGAGTCTCCCTGGCTGGTGTGTTAGGTGGTTAGAGTGTTAGTCTATCCACTGAAGGGTCACAGATTTGATTCCTGGTCAGGGCAGATACCCAGGTTGTGGGTTAAGCTGCGGTCAGGCAGGTGTGTGAGGCAATTGATCAAGTTTTTCGCTCACACTGATATTTCTCTTTCCCTTTCCCTTCCTCTCTCTCTAGAGTTAATGAAAAACATATCCTTGGGTGAGGATTTTAAAAAATGTAGTTAAAGAACAAGCACACTTCCATGTTGTTTATAAATCAAGTGAGTTACCTGGTCTTACAACAAAAACAAAAACCCACTGGGTCCTAGAAAACACAAACTGCCCAGAAGTACCCTCCCGTCCCCGCCAACACCTTCCCAGCTGGGAAAGCAGCACCACACAAGCACTGTTTGCTTCCAATAAAAAACAGGAACAGAATGGAAAAATAAAAGGGAAAAATAAGAAAGATGTATTTTCTAAATTCCCCTAGACCAGTGTTTCCCAAAGTGTGGTACGCGTACCCCCAGAGGTACGGGAAGAGTTTGGTGGGGGTACGCGTTGCACCGGAGTTTGGCGGGGATATGCACTGCACCGTGCTTAGCTGCGCCTAATTCTTTTAAAAAAAATATATTTTATTGATTTTGTACAGAGAGGAAGAGAGAGAGATAGAGTTAGAAACATCGATGAGAGAGAGTCATCGATCAGCTGCCTCTTGCACACCCCCTATTGGGAATGTGCCCACAACCAAGGTATAATACATGCCCTTGACCAGAATCGAACCCAGGACCTTTCAGTTCCCAAGCCGACGCTCTATCCATTGAGCCAAACCGGTTTCGGCTAATTCTACGTTCTCATGAGTATGAGGGGTACTTAGCGTTACAAAAATTATAGAAGGAGTACACATATGTCAAAAGTTTGGGAAACACCGCAGACCAATGGTCGGGAAACTCATTAGTCAACAGAGCCAAATATCAATAGTACAATGATTGAAATTTCTTTTGAGAGCCAATTTTTTTAAACTTAACCTTCTAACGCCACTTCTTTAAAATAGACTTGCCCCGGCCATGGTATTTTGTGGAAGAGCCACACTCAAGGGGCCAACGAGCTGCATGTGGCTTGCGAGCCGCAGTTTGCTGACCATGGCCCTAGACCAGAGGTGAATTTTAGGATTGTTTCTGGGACCTTGGCAGTCAAACCATTCATTCTTGGGAGGGTAAGTAAACTGAATGAATAATTGTTTCTTAATCCCATTTCCTTATCCTATATAATAAAAACCTAATATGCTATGTGTCTGGCTAACTGTTCAATCAATCAAAACATAATGTGCTAATGATTTGCTAAGGCCACTCAACAGCTCGCTATGATGTGCACTGACCACAAGGGGACAGTTGACCAGTTGCTACGATATGCACTGACCATCAGGGGCAGATGCTCCAACCAGTAGGTTAGCTTGCTGCTGGGGTCCGGGCTATTGGGACTGAGTGAGATGGCTGGACATCCCCTGGAGTCTTCCAGGGGTCCCTCCCCAACTGGCCAAGCTCCCGCATCCTTCCCCAGCCTCTATCGTGCACCGGTGGGGTCCCTCGGTCTGGCCCGCACACTCTTGTAATCCAGGACCCCTTGGGGGATGTTGGAGAGCCAGTTTTGGCCAGACTCCACAGGCCAGGCTGAGGAACCCCTCTGGTGCACGAATTCATGCACCGGGCCTCTAGTCAGCTATAAACCACATGGATGAGAGTGGGAAGTAGTGCAAATAAGTTTTCCAAAATAAAGGCTCTAACCTAGATCCTTTGAACAGAATACAAAGGATTTCTGAGTCATATCAGATCTAGACTCAGTATCTTGCTTCAAATTCTATTGATTTGTGTCTGGCTATAAATATTAGTGTACATCTTTCCCTCAAAAACACTGTGTGGAGCTTAGATAACAGGAGCCAGAAGTTATTTATAAAGAAAGCTTGACTTAGTTACACAGTATTACAAAAACAAATATTAAATTTAAAGATAAAAGATCATAATTGAAGATCACTCTGCCCTGAGATCTTGGTGACAAACCAAAGCAAAACACAACCCTCCTGCACCTCGCCTACTACAATAGTGTGTGGTAACTTCTCTTGGGAAGAGTTATAATAGGTTTGCACTCATACCATCAGCTGACTGTCCTTTCTTGGTTGTTCGTCTCACAGTTTCCCAAGTTCTATTTAGGCAAAGAAGAAAAAACAAAATCATTAATGCCAAAGAGGAGAATACTCTTAGGTTTTGTGTGTACAGCAAGTACTTTACAAATGCAGAGCATGCAAATGTACACATGGTCGAAAAGACCAAGCAGTATAGATCTGTATTGTTTTAAAAAGCCAATTGTGCTATCTTACAGCTTTTGAGAAGGATCAAAGAAAACCTGCTTCGGAACATTTAGCTCTCTTGGTGCTATCACTTGAGTTGCCTTTCAAGTCAATACTCAAAATACTTTAGTTTGGATCATAAATCTACAGGGAGCAGCACGGTTGGTGACAACGGCTTTCGAAGCTGTTAAGCAGTATGTGTGCACACTAAGCCCCTATGAAAAAAGGGTACTCTGCATAATGAGAATGAGTTGGATATTTAAACAATTTAGATTTTAAAATCTGCGACCTAAAATACACAATTTAGGAAAGCAAGACCTTTCTATTTATTAACTGAAGAATCCTTAAATTTAGGAGAATGCTCTATTGTATGTGTGTGACATCTTATCTAAGAGGAAAATGTCCCTAGAGGAAAATGAGGTAATAGAGAAGGTTCCTGCTGCTGTTTAAGGCTTCCTTCCTAATTAGCTATTTGTTTCAGAAGAACACTGTACTGAAAATCCAGTTATTGGAACAATCATGTTGTTTACAGGGGGAAAGGCATATGAGAGAAAGTCTCCCTTCACTCTCATTCCCTAAATAAGAAAAAGCAGTGGTAAGAGAGGGGAGTGAAGAAGACACCTGCCGTGGCTCTGGGAATTGGGATAAGAAAGGCATCAAGGTCTCATCATAGTAACAGTGAGCATGAGATTTGTTACTTGGAGCAAGCCTCATGCTTTGTGTCTGGTTTGAGGTTGGTCATGCCACACTTATATTTTGAAAAAAATTCAGATACTTAATCTAGTTAAAAACACACAACTTTCTGTAAACTTGATCTTTCAATGTTGTATCCACATTTTACAGGGCAAAAACGTTAAAATGAACCTATGAAAATCAAAGACGACTATGACAACTCACAGCTGCCCAACATTCTTGTTAGTAGCAAGAAGCCAACCATAAGCAATTCTGATGTCAGTAACACAGAGTGCAAGAGACATAACACCTTTTGGTATAGCTCTCTCTGCTGCCTCTTAAGATTAGTCCTAAGGACTGAAGAAGACAGTGCTGGGAAAAGCACTGAAGGTCCCATCCCAAATACACTAGAAATAAGGGAAAAAGAATGGCATCATTATAGTGGTTAAGATGAGATAAATAAGCAGTAATAAGCCATCAATTATAAGCAATAAAACAGAAGTGCATTTATAACAAACAATAGAACAAGAATGCCCCATAAAGACTCTTATTGTCTTAAAGGGACTCTGAGATGTGTACATTGGGTTGAGTAAGAAAATCTTAGTCTCTAATTACCTTCTAGCTAACCCATAGCCACAACCTCCTTGAGAGTTTTCTCATTTACAAAGCTAGAGAATTAAGAGCATGTTATCTCATTAACCTCTTGTAACTTTAGAATTTTGATTCTAATTAAAGTTATTCCATTTTTTAGTCGTTGTTATAGGAAATCCAGTTTTGTTTTCCTTTCTTTAGTCAACCAACACAAGAGATTGGAAGGCCACAAGAGGATGACTTCAATTCTGTCCTGAATGCCAACAAAAGGGCAAATGCCAGCATTCTTTTATACTTCTAAAATTAATTTCACAGCCTCTTCCATGAGTCACACAGTGAAACAAAGGATCCTCTCGCTGCGATTTTTCCTCATGTACATGCTTCTGTATCAGGTAACATATAAAACATTTTATAAATTTATAAATTGTGGCCTACTGCAAAGTACAGAGCTCCATTCTCCCAATGAAAAATGAAATGCCACTGCTTCAGGAAGACCTCTTTGGAGGCCACGAGGAAGACCTGTGTGAGGAAGACTGGAAGTGAACATTGAGCCTGCAACCCAGGCATATGGCTTGACCGGGAATCCTTAACCGTGACCTCCTGGTTCAATCACTGAGCCGCGCTGGCCAGGACTCTAGTTTTTTCTTACGTATCATTTGACAGAGTTTAAAAAGCATATATATAATTTTCTATTTTGTTAGCAAGTTACTAATTTTTTTTTCTTCATATTGCTGGATTGTCTTCATAATCTGCTTTGTGGATGGATGCATGGATTTTACAAAATGAATACACTAAAATAATTATTCCCTTATATTTACAATGTTTAGGTTGCTATCAAATTTTTTTTTTTTAAAGTTTTGGTGAACATCTTTAGGCATAAAACTGATTCCAAATAGTTTTCTTAGCACAGTCTCAGAACCCGTGGTGACCTGGCTCTAAACAGCTCCGCCCCCAACCACATCTTTATGGCAATTGGTACATGTTGTGAAATGCTTTATGAAAGGTTTTCTTTTCCAATTTACATTTCCATGAGCAAGGTTTAAGCATGAAACTTTTACCTCAAACACAATGTTTCCTCTTTAATTCTAATTTAGAGGTTAGAATTGGTTTAATTAAAAGGAAGAAACCTATATTATTAACGATTTTGCTGCTTTATCAGCTCCAAAAGTTTTAGGTTCACATTAATCTAATTGGGGAGAATGGTGTTAAAATAACTACCTGACTAGTTATTATAACAAGTTTATAAATTTATAAATATGCATGGATTGTAAGTTATTCAAACATTCTAACAATAAGAAAACAGCTAAATTAGATTTCTCTATAACATAGTTTCCAATGAAGAAAATATCAAAATTTATGCCAAACACTAAATAGAGAACTTGAGAACCTCCAATACTATGCATTTTACAAAAGAAAAAATATAGTTTACCTCGTTTTACCAGTAGGATCCATGTAAGTTGTTTTTTCAAACTTGATCCATTTTCCTTCTGCAATTAACTAAAAGGAGATGAGACGACAGATGAGTTAGAAGCTTTCAAACTGAGCTTTTTATTTAGAAGAGGTTTTATTTTTATTTTCACATTCTCTCTATGGCCTTCCCAATTATCACACTTCCCTTCCAATAATTCATATGCAGGTTTTCAGTTAAGCATATTAAATATTGTTTTCCTAACGGGTGGTTCTACTTCTATTTGGAGTTTTGGAGGTAGTACTGAGAGGTGAAAAGAAATGAGTTGAAAACTCTTGGGGTTGCGGTGGGGAAGGAAGACCAGAAGGGAGCAAAAAGGAGTGAGAGCTTCTCTTGGATGCTTCTCTTATTCTGGCCTCTGATCTGGGTGCTAGTCATATATATTGGGTCTAGTAATAATTAATGTCGTTTTTAACTCGTTTAAAATCTTGCTTGGCGTTGACTTGTATTGACATAACCTTCAAACACGTGGTATCTACAGAACGTGTGAAGTGCAATTAACAAGTTTTGCTTGAAAAAGTTTGTGTTTGGTTTGGTTTTTGTTGCAAAACTAGGGCTAAGAAGATGGCGGATGAAGAGCATATTCGGCACTGCATGCTTTACGAGTTCCAATTAGGAAGAAAAGCAAGTGAGGCTGCAAGAAACATCTGCAGTGCTCTTGGTCAAGATGCAGTTAGCGCCAGAAAATGCCAGCGTTGTTTTGAGAAATTTCACGAGGGAAATTTTTCCTTAGATGACAAGAGTGGTCGAGGCCGTGTGTCCAATTTTGATCAAGAAGCTCTTCAAGCTCTTTTGGTGCAAAATCCTCAAATTATCCAACAAGAGCTTGCGACAACTTTAAATTGTTCACAAAAAACAATTTCCAGTCAATTGCGTGCACTTGGCAAAGTCCAAAAGTTTGGAAAATGGGTTCCTCATGAGTTGACTGACAACAACCGTAATCAAAGAGTCACAATTTGCAGTTCGCTCCTCTCTCGTCAAAACCGTTTGCCGTTTTTAGAGCAAATTGTTACCGGAGATGAAAAATGGGTGCTGTATGTTAATTTGAAAAGGCGGCCTCAATGGTTGGACAAAAATGAGGCTCCGCAGCCCACGCCAAAACCTGACTTGCATGCGAAAAAGTGATGTTGTGTGTTTGGTGGAATTTTAAAGGAATTCTTCATTATGAACTTTTACCATCTAACCAAACCATTACAAGTGCAGTGTATAGTGCCCAATTAGAAAGGTTAGCCCAAGCTTTAAGAGAAAAAGAACCTGCGCTGATTAATCGGAAGGGCGTAATTCTTCACCACGATAACGCACGACTGCATACTGCAAGAATCACTGCTGAAAAACTGCGCCAGTTGGAATGGGAAGTTCTCCCTCAACCTGCATATTCTCCTGATATTGCCCCTTCCGATTACCATTTGTTTCGTTCTTTGCAAAACTTTCTTCTTGGAAAAAAATTTAATAATGAAGAATGCCTCAAAAATGCATTGACCGAATTTTTTGCATCAAAATCACAAGAATTTTACAACAGAGGGATTAAAATGCTTCCTGAGCGTTGGGCACTAGTAGTAGAAAACAACAGCAACTATATTGTTGATTAAAGTTTGTTGTATTGTTTAAATAAATTCGATTTAAAAAAAAAAAGTATTAGAAAACGACATTAATTATTACTAGACCTAAATATTTAGTATATGAACACATCAGTGGCATTTTACTTTCTTTTTTTAAAAAAATGTTTTAATTTTTATTTTATTGATTATGGTCTCATATAATTGTCCTTATTCCCCCATTCCCATCCCAAACCCCTCCCTAGATATGCCCCCCCAACCCCCATTGTTCATGGCCACTGGCTAGGCCCATATGTATGCACAACAAGCATGTCAAAGTCAAAGGCTAACACAGGCCAAATAAACAAGGTTAAGTTTATGTGGGCTGCAAAAAACAAAAGCTTCTATTTTCATAGAAACATAGGTTTATTTTGATAGAGACATGCTGAATAGAAAGGGCTGAAATAAATGTGTAATCATTAACATAAAATAGAACATTTTAATAAAAGTTAGTATTTCTTCTTGAACATTAATTTACCACTGAATAACTGCATAAATTAATAAGCGTAATGCAAATAAACCTATTTTTCTTGTTCTCTGAAAAGTTCACACCAAACAAGTCAGTACAAGATTAATGACGTGGCCATCGGCTGCTAAAATATTTGCTGCCAGTATTAGTGGAGAGAAATGGTGCGCCTGTGTGTAAGGAGTGTAAGGGAAATCATGCAAAATGATTATAGTGATCAGTCATTAGCGAACGTTGTAGTTCATTATTAATAATTATGTATAACAGGATATTGTAAGGATTAAATTACAAAATTTTTATTAAAATGTTTCTTACATACTGTTATATTGGTTGGAATGCAAAAATATTCGTTGTGGGCCTTGAGTTTGACATGCTTGCTATATAATAAAGTTGAATGTGGGGAAACCATGTCCAATGATTGGATTTCTAAGAACCGAGGGTGGCACTCTCAGCATTGTTCTGCCTAGATTCTGAGTCTAGGTTCCCGGGACTAACTTACCGATGGCATGCACTGCACTAAAAGGAAAGTGTCGCTGTGTACATAAAGCAGCTTATAGGCTTCTGACTATCCTTTTCACTTTGTTCTTTAATCCTCATCTTTAGATATGTTTATTGATTTTAGAGAGGAAGGGAGAGAGATCCGTTGATGTGAGAGAGAAACATTACTTGTTTGCCTCCTGACCAGAAATCAAACCCACAACCTTTTTGGTGTAGAGGACAACACTCAACCAACTGAGCGCCCAGAAGGCCTGTCTTTCACTTCTTACCAGAAACAACCTACCAATTGCCAAAAGATCTATTCACAGATAACATAAACTTATATTTTATTTATTAATTTACTTAACAGGAAAATAGTCTGATTTTTATTTTTTCATGTTATATGCAAATACACAATACAATAATGTCATACATCCCTATGTGATTTTCTTTTTCTGCATTTTACCTTTATAAAAATAAAGTGTACAGAAGGAGGGCTATATAACATTTAGTAGGAAAGTTCTATAGAATAACAACTTATATTATGTATTTGTAAAAATCTGGACCTCTTTAAAACATTTAACTGAAACATTCATTTTTTTAGCTTTGCTAATCAAAATTGTTTTAAGAATTAAAACTAGGTTATAACTAATGTCAGTATATAATAGTGACTACAATTTCATTTTTTCTTTATACAAATATATTTTATTATATTCACTTGACCAAACCCTTAAGTACCTTTTAAAGATTTCAATATTTTTCTTCAAAAAGAAAAGAACTGTGTATGATTCTAGACTATGTAAGAGAAATGTAAAGTGTGTAAAATAAAACCAAAGTGTTTTTTATATTTCAGTATATTTAAAAATATATAATTAGATGACCAATTATATTTTCTGAATTAATTTTACACGCTGTCTTAAAATTAATAAATTTCCACTTTTACTTAAGTGTTTTACATTAACTTTGGGAAAAATAAAGAAATAAGGGAGATTTAAAATGTTTTTATTGATTTTAGAGAGAGAGGAAAGAAGAGGGAGGGACGGGGTAAGAGAGAGAAAAAAAAGAAACACTGATTGGTTGCCTCAGGTACACACCCGGAATCAGAGCACAAAACCTGGGCATGTGCTCTGATTGGGAATTGAACTGGTGATCTTTTGTTGCATAGGACAAAGCTCAACCAACACAGCCACATCAGCCAGGACAAAAAAATATGGGAGATTTTTAAAGGTACTCACAAAAATACCAGAGCTTTCAAGGATAGTACTACAGGGCAATGAATCAAACAATTTTAAGTTACTTTTTTAATTTTTATTTTATTTTATTAAAAAAAAGCATGTTATGAAGGCCAAAAGGGCACAGGAGCTCCCATTGGGACCAGCCCATGCTTTGGCTTTGATTGGCATTCAATTTGGAGTTCATACCAGCTTAGAATACTTGATTCTGGTCTCCAAAATTTATCTTAACATAATCAAATTCTAATGAACTGTGTCCATTTTATGTATTTATAACTGAGAACTATTTATTTTTAAAAAAAGTCAACTTTCAAAGAAAAACAAAACAGTGAAAGACATTGGGATGTTCTAAGTAAGGCCTTAAATTCTACTCATGCCCTTAAGCATACTTTTATCTTATGTTCCAATCAAAGCCAGCTTGTGTGTTAAGTTTTTGAAAGTTTCTTAACTATTACTGAGAAATAACAGAGTAAACTGAACTTGCCAAGTGTAAATCATAATTAGCATTTGATCTCTGTGGAGCTGTAGCTTCCTTAGTTTTTCTAGTTGGTGACAGAGTTCCCTCAGGGGCTTCTCAGAAGGTTTTGAGCTTAAGTTGTATGAAAATATTCTATCTAGAAAAATCTTAACTTCTATTTTTCAGTTACCAAAGATACTTAAAGGAAGATACCTTTTTGCTTTAAAAATACCAGTGTCCTAATTTTCCTTTTAATTCTTCATCTGAGTAGTCAGTCTCTCTGAAGAGCATTATTTACAAAATGTCCTCATAAATCTCTGCATCTTTGATATTGTAAATTTAATACTTCTCATTATAGATTTTAAACAACTACAACTTGGAGTTGTGTGTATAAATATGTAAAATAAGCAATACACTCAAATATAATCTACCAGAGGCCTGATGCACGAAGATTCGTGCAAGAATAGGCCTTCCTTCCCCTGGCTGCCGGCACCGGCTTCTCTCCGGCACCTGGGACCCAGGTCTTCACTCTGGCCACCGCCTTCTGCCTTCTGCCTTCTGCCTTTGCCTTCGCTCTGCTGCCCTCCTTAAATTTCCTCCACCTCTGCATCCCATCCCCCAGCAGACGTCCCGCACGCACTGCTCCATGCCTGTGCATGTGCACAGCCCAGAGGCCTGGAGCGGCTGGGTGGGGTGGAACGTCCTTGCCCAACCACCACCATATTTGTGGAGGAGAGATGGTCAATTTTCATATTTTGTCTTTATTAGATAGGATATCCTATATAATAAAAGGCTAATATGA